GTTTCTCACAGTATTATTTTTCTAACGTCAAATTCAAAATTGAATTTGTCGTCTTTTTTCTTTCTTTCTGGGTAAATGTAGGAAAATGACAATTCTGAATTTAATATGTTAAAACGGCTGTATAAATGTATATAGAGTTAAATTCTCTCTCAGGCACGAAGCCCTAGACGGCCGTCAACGACATCCTCCGATTACCATGATTCTCCAGCGTTTTCGCCGGAATCTCTGATCCAGGATGACGACGAGCAACGCGTTTAGGTTCGTTCCACCGACGACCCAAAGATCTGCTTGCTCCTCTCGCCGGTGTGCTTCTTCGCCGGTGAGTCCTAACCCCCTCGGCCCTCTGTGCTTGGCCGACGTCCGTCTATCGCTTCCCTTGGTGAGTCCAGTTGAGAACTTGGGCGTGAGCCGGTCTGCTTCCTCTGCCTCTCCTCCTCGAATCCTCAAGACGACGAAGATGGCTATGGCAAGACCTCCTCCTCCGCCAGAGCCGCCAGACCCTCTCTCGGCACCGTCGAGCTTGCTCCCACATGTCAAGCTTCACCACCGTCGATAGAGGAGCCGCATCTCAGATGAAAGAGAATCCCAGCCACCGGCCTTCAAGGTTGGAACTCCTCTCCTTCTAACCGGCGTTTGCTTCCTCTTCTCTCGGTCCTGTCGAGCACATTCCGAAGATCCTTGCTCACCTTACCATCGACAACCTCCATCTCCGGCGAGAACCTTAAGCAATTCCAAGAATGTTAAGCCTTTGGTCTCTGCTTTTCGGAGCTCATCTCTCTCTCACGACCCGGTTAGGTCGTCCTGGGTGCTGCAGAACCATCTCCCCCCGCCGGAGCCTCATCTTCGACTCCCTCCATCGCCAGTCCTCTCTCTCGATCTCAGTCGAAGTTTTCCGACAAGGCTTACAATCCCGCCGCGAGCACTCTGTTGCCGACGAATAAGTTCTCCCCCAGCAAAATTTGTGCGGTGGATCGGTTGATCAGTCTCCGGGCAACCCCGACGGAGATCTTGGGAAAATGGTTGTAACCTACCCGAAGTATGGGGTAATATGTAGAAAACTACCCGAAATATAAAAATGTGCTTTAAACTACACCAACTTATAAAAATGTGTTTTAAACTACACGAAGTATGAAAAAACATGTTGCAATCAACATATTGGATTTTTAAAGTTTAAAACGTGATTTTGGGGTCAAATTATAATTAAATTTTTTTAAACCCGATTTAATCAAATATCCGATCCGACCACTAGGAGACTCTCATGTGGCTCATTTGCATTTTGTATTTGGTTATAAACCATGTGAGCTTTATTGCAAAGTGATTGAGTTATATCCTATTAGAATTACGTTTGAAATCTGTATAGGAGTTTTGGACTAGATTGGATTTCCATTTTTGTTGTTTTGATTGTTCATATATGTTGGCTTCCAAGCTATGATAAACACGTCATGGGTTTTTTTCCCTATCTTTCACGTCATGCCATCTATATTCCTAACACTCTGTTCATCCAATTTCCTCAAATCAAGAATACTACGATCTTACCTTTGAAAACGAAATGGCGTTTTTATCATTGTATAACCAGGTTTCAAATTTTAGCCAAGTATTCCGATTAAAATATCAAAATATCGTTAGTTATCATTGTATTTGTTTTTTTTTGCTAAAATTACTTGGCTAAGTTTGTTTTTGGTTTGAAAACTGTTAAAAGCTGATAGGCTAAATTGTTATGTTTATTATTCAAACTAACGATATTTTGATATTTTAATCAACCATAAGTTATATTGTTTGCTTTGTTTTCTCTGTTTCCACATAATTCACGACATTTGTATATATGTCTTCGTTTTTGTGTTTTAGAAAAATGTTGGGTCAAATTAATATGYCCCAGTTAAAATGATAATCTGAACCGGATCGGGTTAAGTGATTGATCGGGTCGGATATTTGATTAAATCGGGTTTAAAAAAATTTAATTACAATTTGGCCCTAAAATCACGTTTTAAACTTTAAAAATCCAATATGTTGTTCGCAACATGTTTTTTCATACTTCGTGTAGTTTAAAGCACATTTTTATAAATTGGTGTAGTTTAAAATACATTTTTATACTTCAGATAGTTTTCTACATATTACCCCATACTTCGACTAGGTTACAACCATTTTTCCGGACATCTTCTCCGAACATCAAGCCGCAGCCCAAAATATCCAACTTCCCGTCGACAACACTTGTAGTTGGGCTTGGGCCTGAGAAAAGAAGAGGAATGGGCCTTTAATCAAATATTGGGCCTGGCCTATGAGATTAAGGTAAACCCAATTTTTATCTCAAAGTTATGTGATTCTGATATGAGAAAAAATTAAAATTTTCTGGATTATCAAATCCTATAGTTTTTACCGAATTTATCCCTTCTTTCGAGAGAAGTATAAAGTTTTCTGGATTCTCAAATCCTGTAGTTTTTAGTGATTATATTTCTTCTATTGTGAGAAGACACAAGTTTTCTGGGTTCTTAAACCCTGTAATTTACTCTCGGTGGAAGAGTCTAATTCCACTTTCTTCCATCTCTTTGAGATTGGTCGAATCCCCGAGCAGTATGCCGGGTTTTACAAAGTCACAATATAAAGTGACTACCCTGAGGCTCTCCGGCCTTGCCGCGAAGGCCCTCTTGACGCATCCAAGATATGTCTTGGATCCGTTTTCCATCTTCTACGATGATCTATCTGCATTATGCTTTATCGTTTAAATTAATGAAAAACTTGTTGATAAAAAAAAATATATATATAGAGTTAAAAAAAAACGGGTATAAAATTATTGGCATGCATACACAAACACACACCAACGTCTTCTAATTAACTCTCTTTATTTTTGTTTAATTGCTTTCAGTTTCTCCACACACGCGCATATTATTAGGAACGCATTCAAATATCACAAGAAAATAATTAGAAGCTTCTTAAGATGTATTTGATACTTTTGATTGTAATTATACTGGAAGAACGTCTTAACCTATCTATATATTAGTGAGCTAAGAATAAAATTTCAACCTAGCTAAATTGTATCAAACGGATTCACGGTTTAGACGGACCAATGTTTATATATTTGGTATGATTAGAAAGTATAATGTTTTGAGAATGACAAAAACATTACCAACATTCATAAATGAATATGAATATGGTTCGAGCTAATTAATTATCTAATAATCACGCAGTTCTAAAACCATTCAGCATTAATTATCTTTGGTTCAAATGAATTCATCAGATAATTGAGCCGATATAAAAAAAACAAAAAATAATAATTCATTTTTAGTATAGAACATGTTGATAACCAATCTTGAAAGATGAAAAAAGCCAA